CTACCTGTGTGGTAGTGTGGCCGAGCCCAGTATAGTCCGACCGGTACAGGGAGCTGTTGTTTCCTGTACCCGGCCGGACTAACAGGAAGTGAACACTCAGTGTGCACTTCCTGTTAGTCCGGCCGGGTACAGGAGACAGCTGCTCTCTGTACCGGTCGGACCATGCCATAGAGGGCTCGGCCACGCTACAGGGAGGGAGCTGACAGGAGGGAGCGCTGAGCGCTTCCCTCCTGTCAGCCTCTCCTCAGGCTGCGCCCGGGCGGTGCGATCCGCCCTCATGGACGCACCGCCCGGGCAAAGCTGCAGCCGCCCGAGGCTCTTCACAGAGCGCTCAAGTCTGTGTCTGTATAATATCCTGGGACAGTCAGTGTTCCCTGTATAGTGCTGCTCTCTGTCTTGGGATATTATACACAAACAGACCTGTATTATACAGAGAGCAGCACTATACAGGGAGCACTGACTGTCCCAATTTATTATACACACAACCCTGTATTATACAGAGAGCACTGACTGTCCAGGGATATTATACCCAGACAGTAATTGATAGCTGTGCTGCAAAATCTCCTTGGAATTTTTTTTCAAATGTTGGCAACTATGGCACTGTATCAAGGGTAATGTGTTTGTTTTTTAATAATCCCTGGTGGAAAATAATGAATCCTCCACCAGGGATTATTAAAAAAACAAAACACATTGTTTCAGGGGCGGGGCTTAACATGCGACAGGGGCGGGGTCAAACTGCGGCGAGGGCAGGGCAAAATGTGCACCCTACTTTTGTCCCTGGTCCTCCATGTGCCCCCCCTAAAAATGAATGCTAGAGATGCCACTGACTGCTTCAGATCCTTGGAGATGGCTGGCCAGAAGAATCTTTGGGTAAGCTGAAACTCCTTCCCAAATGCTTTGCCAAGTGAATATCGTGAGCTATCGTCAGCAGCTCATACCGATATCTCTTGGGTGCCATCAACTGCGTGGTAGTAGGAGGAGCTGTAGTGTGTTCCTTTTTCACTGCTATCTGGTATGACCGCATCACCTCCCAGAGGTTCTGCTCCCCCTCCTTCCCTACCTCCCCCGTGGCTGCCTTGTCGTTATAAGCCTTTAGGTTCAGGTCTGAGGCTACCTCCTTCTCAAACTCCGCTGGGGTATGGGGACCGGGACAGGGGTAGGATCCCGGGGCTCTTAAACCAGGTAACTAGTATGGGTGGCCCGAGTGTAGGGACGGGAATGGTGCCCAGGGGAAGGGGGACGGACACAGGGGTTTTCCTGTGGGGTCGTCTACAGGACCTTGGGGTGTGGGAAGGGGTATGTGTGCCTGCCTGAGCCTGGGTGGTGCGAGTCTGCTGCCGGGTCATCATGGGTTAGCTCTCTGTGGGGTGTAGAGTGGGCACAAAGGTGAAGATGAGGGGTCCCAGGTCATTTCACCTCGGCGGGTAGCCGATCCATGAGTCCCACTTCTACCACCCGGTCTCCGGTGCCCCAATCAAAGTGGACATAAGCTCTGGGCAGGTTGTAAATGTGGCCCTCGGCCACTGGGACAGCCACTGTTCCTCCATTCTGTAGGCTTCATGGATAAGCTGGCTTTGGACGAGAGTCAGAGTGGCCCCAGTGTCTCGTAGCCCCTGGACCTCACATCCGTTCAGTTTGACTGGCTGTCGATGGTGTGCCCTGTTGTCGTGGGCTGCCTGGATGGGGTTGGCCTCGTGTAGGATGGAGTATCTACCCTCACTGGGGGGGAGGTTGCTCATGGGGATAGCCTGGTAAGAGTGGGCTGCGGCCCTTGGGGGTTGTCCGACTATGAGGTGAAGCCAGCCAGTGTTATTCAGCTCGGGCCTTCCTTCATGTAGTGGCCAGGCTTTCGTCAGTGGAAGCAGGGGGAGGTTGATGGGGCCACCCTCTTCTGGGGGGGGCATGCAGCCGGGGTGCAGGGGAGGTCGGTGGGCAACAGAGGCAGCTGGGCGCTGTGGCCACCGGATATTCATCAGCCTGCTGGGCTGCCTTGCTGTCGGTCTCTCACCCATTCTTGTATGTCGATGGGGAGACCATTATAAAAATGTTCCAGCATGAAAAGCTGGGTGATCTCTTCAGGGGACTTGGCTTGTCGGGAGTTGATCGAGTTCTTGGTGGCCCGTGTGATGTGGTATGCCCTGAACTTTCGGTGGTATTGTTCGGGGGTGACAGCCTACCTAGCCAGTAGAATCCCTTTGATGAAGGAATAGTCCCAGATCTGGTCCTCCGGTACAGCCCGGTAGGCTTCCACCGCCTTCCCCACTAACTTGCTGGCCAGGAAGGTGACCCAGTCGGTTGGGACAAATTTCCTATGTAGAAGGCACTGGTGCTCGAAGTCTTGTAGGAAGTCATCAATGCCTTCTGTAACGGCCACCAAGGTAGTTAGTGGGGTGTATGCCGTTAGAGACGTCCTTTTCCCCGGCAAGTGGCTGTGCTGCAGTGTATTCCCAATATCCCATCAGCTGGAGCAGGGTAGAGAGAGTAGCAGAGCTCTTACAAGAGCTAGTGATTTAGCTGGATGCAGATTCCCTTCAATAACGAGACAAGGCTACATATTGAGGGTTAAGCAGGACTGTTTTAATGAGCACACAAGCATTTCTTTTATACAACTTTTCCCACAAGGTTACCACCCATGTGGACCTTGTTGGGCACCTGTTACAGACTCCCTGTCTTGGATTTGTAAACTATGAAAAAAACGTTTGTGTGAACCATTTGTTTAAACTGTATGAGCCTTCTGTTACATTAAGAGCAGTTCAAATCACAAATTTTCTATTGAACGACCGACCACCCAGAACAGGAGTGCTGCACTCATTAACCTCCCTAACCTGTGTAACACCTCTAGAACCGCGACCACCTCAATGTTCTAATTGCTTTACAGGGTGGTCGGCGTTCGACTGCACGAACACGTGGCGGTGGGCATTTTGTTTAGTCGAACGCACTCAGAGGTGTTTGGTTGGAACTATTTTCGGCTACTGTTTCCATGAACACTGCTGAGACTTTAACCTTCCGTGCGTTCAGCTAAATTCAAAAGAACGGAGCACTATTTCTGAGGAATAA